TGCTTCTTTTTCAAGTCTAGGCTAGACTATTTGACTCTATTCCATTGCATTCCACTTTAGCTCTTAAATATGCTGGTTATAAGCCTTAAAATTAATTCCAGGACTTAGGGACGATTTCCCATCTGCTTTTTGAGCCCCATCCTTCCAGCTTGAACCTTTCTGTTTTTACAGTTTGCCAGTGTCTGGGGCTTCCGAGTGGTGCCTGCCAGACCGAACATTTGCTCCATGCTTGAGGAACTGCCCAGCTCAGCCCCTTTCTAGAAAATCTACCTAGATCAACCCTAACTCTGTGTGAACCCCATTTGAGCATGAGAAGCTGAACATTTCTGGAGAAATCCATGTGATTTGGGAACCATTGTGCATTCATGATCACCAACCTACACCAGACTCTTCAGCTCTCCCTGCCGGTCCTTCTGTTTCCTTAGTGAATTCCTTCCTGCTTCTCTGCAATGATGATTTCCTCTTGTCCCTCCTCTTCTCAAATTTCTGGTCCTCCATCCACCTCCACCCCCACCCCCCTCCCCCGCAACTAAATTGCCTAATACTTGAAAGAGAAAATTGAAGACACCGCTGGGAACTCTGCATTTCCTGCCACCAAATCTATAAACTCACTTGCGTTTCCTCCAGCAAACCTCGGTCTTGTGGCCATCGCTCTTTCTCCTGTGTTATCAACCTCTCCCTCTCTGCTGGAGCCTTCCATTGCCCTACAAACATGTCTTGCTAGCTGACATATTAAAAAATAGTAAAACCAGAGCCTTCCCCTCGCCAGACCCCCTGGACCTCCAACATGCTACCCTCTTTCTCAGCTGGAGGCCTTCTCATGTTGCAACACCATTGTCTTCCCTTGTCATGTAACTGCACTCATCCTTGAGGGCAGGTAGACATCATTTATATATATATAATCCTTAGAAGAGACTCTTGTGTGCTTACCAAACCCTGTTTCCTTTTCCTTCTTGACATTCACCCTGGCTTCCTTTCCCAGCTCTGTTTTGAAAATCACTAGGGCTCAAGCCTTCATTCTACACAACAGAATGTGGGTAAAACTGATGCCCATGCTTCCAAGTCTGGCCCATGAAAACCTCTCTCGCCAGCCTCCATGCCCTCTCTCTCTCCATCTATGTGGCTGGACATGAAGGACCCCAGGACTTGAAATCACAAGGTGGAGGAGACCTGGATCCCTGAGTCACCATGTGGAATGAGCCACCTGTCCAGGAATATCTGTGTTGGCCTGTGTTACTATGTCAAGCCAGGGAAACAGGGATATCTGCTTCAATGGTCAGGCTTCCTCGACTATATCACCCCTGTGTCCCTAGCCTAATGCCTGACATACAATAGGCACTCAAAATGATTTAAGAAATGGCCAAATGACATTTAATTTCCCCAGACAAGTCGTACTCCTGGGGAAGTAGCCAGTTTTCTTTTGTGCCCCTTTGAGTATATCACCTCCTACAACATCAGCCAGGACATTCCTGGCTATGTCTGGAGATATAACATCGAACACACAAAAGGAGAGGAGGTCTAGCCATCGTTAATCCTACATCTTATGTTGCATTTCTGTTTTTAATCCCACAGTGCTGTCCTTATGCCCATCAATAATCATTGTGTTCAAATGTTAGAGAGTGTATGTTAGGGGTGGCTCGATATCATGATCAAAGAGTATGATAAACAAAAACAAAAAAATCCACCAATTTGTTTTCCTTACCAACAACATGCTTATTTTCTATCTGTATTTGTTTTTAAAATGTGACACTATTCTCTTTTTCCCTCAGTATTTTATTCTCTCTTTCTCAGCTATCACACTAATAAGCATGTTATTAAGAGCACTTAGAGGTGAAATTGCAATCTTGGAAAGCTCACTCTCTCTTTCAGGCACCTAGAACCCGCATGAGCAACAAATGGCCAATGTGGTGTAGTCCAAAATAATGGGGCAGCTCCCACTGGCCTGGAATTGTGATGTAAGTACACCTGCTCATGATGAGTGCTAATTCAGGGGGACCCTGTGCACAGGGTGGTAGCAATGACCAGAAGTAGAATAAGAATATTCTGTGCCTATACGTGCTCTTAACATCTCAATGGGAAGACATTCTATTCATTTTTAGGGACTTTTTGTTCTTTGTTGACTCCAACTTCCCACTTTTACTTAAGGTCTTTGTTTATAGCACTCTATCAACAGAAGAAGAGCTAATTATCCCCTTATACTTGTAAGGTTCCAAATTCCATAGACCAAAACACAGACACTTCTCTTTAAGAAGTATGGTACCTGGTTTTGATGAAAGTAGACCTTGCTGGGAAGTTGCTATGTAGCGATTTTCATCTACACATAGAGGTGAGTGGGGGCTCCTTTTCTTAATTTCCCAAAAGACATATTAAGTTGTAGAGCCACCCACACCTCTAGGAGGATTCTTTTCTGATACGCCCAAAAGCCCAGTGCCAGCTAGCAGCCACCCTATTTCTTGGGCTGAAATACGGTAACATGCGATGTTCTGATTTACTTGATTTTTAAGCCTTTGTAAGCTTTATTTCGGATTAAATAGAGACTTGAAAACAGTCAAATGACAGTGGGAAAGGAGGTCCTTTCTACAGTGACACACCTTTAGCTAATGGCTCTACGGTGATGATCTCGCTGCTGTTGCCTCTCCCAGCCGAAGTCACGGCCACAACCCAGACGCTGTACTGACGATTCCGACTCAGGTTAGGAATTCTGTAGGAAAATGAGTCAGGAGAGGCTTCAAACTCGCTGATCACCTGTGAGAGGAGACATAAATGTTCCCACATTCAAGGAGGCAAATGGCACAAATGGATTTCCTAAAGGAATGGTTATTAACATATCATCTATCATAAGAAACCAAAGCCACCATTAGTCCCTCTCTGGGAGGCTGGATTTGCAATATGAATACATATACATCTATCTCCCCATAGTCTACCTTTCTCTATGCACCAGCTTTGACAGCCACCAATCAGTAATATAATCCTTTAAATTAGGGGTCCTTTAAATCTAACCCTTAAATTAGAGTAACAAGAACCAGATTTAGCCTCCTACTGGAAACAACCACAGAACATGCAGGATATATGAAACAACAGTTTCAAAGGCATTGTTCCTCCACTAATGAAGGACGATCATCTCTGAAATACAGGAAACAAATGAGGCAAGACCCACAGTTGGAGGGTGTTTACATTTTTTGAGAGTTTCCAGGCCATGACACAGGGAAGGGAACCCAGGAGGAGCCCAGCAGCTTCCCTGACTTGGGGAGACAGAACTGAGAGACTAGTAGGGAGCTGGAGTTCACAGGACTGAGTACTGGGGAGGAGAGTGCTACACAGAAAGCTCTGGAGAGCTAAAGAGCATCCCACTGGGGTATTCAACTGAGTGGATCTGTGCACACATGTGAGGAACTATCCGAGGCCAGGGAAGAACCACCTGAAAGGATCAGAGGTCACAGCACGCAGCATTTACACAGAATAGTGCCTGTTCCCACCAGACAGAGGGCAAACCCTCAAGATTCATGGGGCATTAGATATAGTACATAAGGGTCTTTCCTCAGTGATGGGCAATAATTAGCCCTAGATTGGACATCACATGGGTATTGCCTAACTAATATTAAAAGCAAGATTCATAAAGATTAAATTGACACTAAGTAACAACTGCATCCCAGAAAAAAAGTCAAAAATATTCATAGAAATAAAAATATCCAGTACCCAATAAGGTAAAATTCACAATGTTTGGCATCCAATAAAAAACTTCCAGATATGAACAACGCAAATAGCCATCAACTGATGAATGGATAGACAAAATAAGTTGTATCCATACAACTTATTACTCAATAATAGAAAGGAATGAAGTATTGATACATGCTACGGCTTGGATAAATCTTGGAAACATTATACTTAGTGAAGGAAGCCAATCGCAAAAGACCACATATTTATGATCCCTTTCTAAGAAATGTCCAAAATAAGCAAATGCACAGAGATAGAAGCAGATTAGCTGTTGCTGGGGGCAGGGTAGTGGAGGGAGAGAATGAGAAGAAACTGCTACCGGGTGTGGGGTTTCTTTTTCGGATGATGAAAATGTTCTAAAATTAGATAATGGTGAAGTTTGTGCAGCTCTGTGAATATATTAAAAACGACTGAATCGTACACTCTATAAGCATGAATTTCTTGGTATGTGAATCATACCTCAGAAAAGCTGTTATAAAAAATTCTGGGAAGGTGAAGAAGCAGAAAAACACGACTCATAAAAAAATACACTTCAATCAATCCAAATCGACCCATAATTGACACAGATATTATATCTAGCAGACGAGGCCATTGAAAAGTTATTATAATTGTATTATAGCTATAACTGTATACACTCAAAAATTGAAGTAGATACATGAATGATATAAAAAGACCCAAGTTAAACTTGAAATGAAATTATAATGTGTGAGAAGAAAAAGACACTGGATTAGATTAATAGATTAGTTCTTGTAGAAAAAAAGATTCGTGAACTTGAAGACAGATTAATAGATGAAGCACAGAGAGAAAAGAGAATATATAACTTCAAGGAGCCTTAGTGAGCTATGGGACAACATCAAGCAGCCCAACATAAATAAAACTGGAATCGCTTAAAGGAAGGGACGGATGTAGGACAGAAAAAAATGATTGAGGAACTAGTGGCTGAAAATTTTCCAAATTTGATGAAAACTATAGATCCATAAAGCCAAGAACCTCAGCCATAAAAATATGAAGAAAACCACACCAAGGCACGTCATAATCAAATTGCTCAAAACCAGTGATAAAGAGAAATCCCTAAAAACAGCCAGAGGGGCTGGCCCCACGGTGTAGTAGTTAAGCTCGGCATGCTCCATTTTGGTGGCCCCAGCTTGCAGGTTCGGATCCCGGCACAGACCTACACTACTCATCAGCCATGTTACGGCTGCGTCCCACATACCAAATAGAGGAAGACTGGCACAGATGTTAGCTCAGGGACAATCTTCCTCGGGTTAAAAAAGAGGAGGATTTGCAATGGAGGCTAGCTCAGGGTGAATGTTCCTCAGCAAAAGAAAAAGAAAAAAAAAAAAGCCGCAGAAAAGACACACACGAAGGAACAAAGATGAGGATGCCAGCAGACTTCTTGTCAAAAACTATCCAAGTGCTATTGAATGTCCCCTCCAAATTTATGTGCTGAAACCTAATCCCCAAGGCGATGGATAGGAAGTGGGGCCTTTGGAAGGTGATTAGGCTGTGGGATTAATGCCCTTAGAAAAGAGGCTGCAGAGAGCTCCCTTGTCCCCTTCCATCATGTGAGGAAACCAGTCTGCAACCTGGGAGAGGGCCCTCACCATACCCTGGTCATGCCGGCACCATGATCTAGGGCTTCTAGCCTCCAGAACAAACACAGAAAATTAGCATAAGGAAATGGGAGTGATGCTGTAACAAATACCTAAAAACGCAGAAGCAGCTTTGAATGGGGTAGAGGCTGGAAGAGTTTTGAGGCTGATGTTAGAAAAAAAGCCAATGTTGCCTTGCTAAAGGTGATTCTGGTGAGAGGTCAGAAAGAAAAGAGGAGAGCTGGGGAGAGCCTCCATCTTCTTAGAGAACGCGAATAATGACATACAGAATTGCACCACAGAGAAAAGATGATCCTGGTCACAAAGTGGCAATGAACTTGGCTGAATTGTGTCTGTGTTCCAGTGTTCTGAGGAAGGTGGAATTGCAAGCATGAAATCGGATCCTTAGCTGAGGAGACTTCTAAGCAAAGTGTTGAAAGCGTGGCTTGGTTCCTCTTGACTGACTTTACCGACATAGTAAAATGCAAGAAGAGAGAAATGAATTGAAGAAAGAATGAAGCAAAAAGGAACTAGAAATTAAAAATTTGGAAAATTCTCAGGCTATCCATATTCCCCCAAAAATGAGAAAGCAAATTTGGGGGAGGACACTGGAGGGTGCTGCCTGGCAACCATTTGATCAGGAGATTTGCGTGGGTGTGAACACACGAGCCTAATCAGCCACCCCATGAGAACGCTGCCAGTTTATGGGATAGAACCAAGGCAGGCTGTTGAACTCAGATTCTACAAGGCAGGACCACAAAGCTATTTGGCTGTGAACTTGTGTTATTCTTCAAGAAAAGGGAAGAATGGCTCTGAAGGACATTCAGAGATCAGCAGGATCACCACCTTTGTAATTGAAGCTTTGGGGGCGGGGACCCCCCTGGAGCTGTGGCCATCAAACGCCCACCTGGCAGATCCCTGGGGTCTACTCTGATGAAGAGAACCACCGCCTGGGTGGGGTCCCTGCAGAGGGCCCCAGTACGGGCACAGCCGCACTCAGCAGTGGCGGTGATGTTGTAATCCTACTGGGCCTGGAGGATGCAGCATTAAACCTACGAAGACTATTCTTGTGCCTTAAGATCCAATGGAGTTTGCCTTGCTAAGTTTCGGACTTCCTTGGAAGCCATCACCCCTTGTTTCTTTCCTTTTTCTCCCTTTTGGATTGGGAATGTCTACCCTGTGCCTGTCCCGCCATTGTACTTTGGAAGCACGTAACTTGTCTTCTTCACAGGTTCACAGCTGGAGAGCAATTTGCCTCCGGATGAGTTGTACCTTGAGTCTCACCCATATCTGACTTAGATGACATTTAAATGAGTCTTTGGACTTTAGACTTCAGACTTAATGCTAGAATGAGTTAAGACTTACGGTACTATTGGGATGGAATGAATGGATTTTTGCATGTAAAAAGGAGGTGAATTTCGAGGATCCAGGGGCAGAATGGTACGGTCTGAATGTTTGTGTCTTCCTCCAGATTCACAGGTTGAAGCCCAAATCCTTCCTGTGATGGTTTAGGAGGTGTGGTCTTGTCATGGAGGTGATTAGGTCATAAGGGTGGAGCCCTCACAAATGGGATTAGTGCCTTATAAGGGAATGAAGACACCAGAACTCTCTCTCTCTACCAAGTGAAGATACAACAAAAAGCCAGGAAGTGGGTTCTCACCAGACTCTAGACCTCCTAGCACCGTGACCTGGGAGTTCCCAGCCTCCAGAACTGTGAGAAATAAATGTGTGTGGTTTAAGCCTCCCCCTGTGGTATTTGTTATAAAAGCCCAAGCTGACTAAGACAAGGAAACGAAGGTACGGACCCAGTCAGTGAGTCACTGAGGTCATGATGCCAGCCGAGGGTGGACAGAGGCTCAAGCTCGGTGCTTCCACTCTCAAGTCCAGTGCTGTTTCCTCACACTCCATGCTGCCAATTATGAGCGGCCGAGCACAGGAAGGACTTATTTCTACCCCTGCGAGCTGTTAAGTAAACCTTAGGAGGTCAGCAGGCTGCATAAAAAGCAAGACCAGCTGTGCAATTAAATAAGGGACGTAAATGTTAACTATACATCTTAATCGTCATACATCCTATGCTCCCTCACAATCACGTCAGAGAATTGCCCATTGTCAAATATTTAACTTACAGGTACACAGTGTCAGGTGATTAAAGGGAGACTACAGGGTCCTTGCACAGATTCTTCAGGTGTGCACATATACATTAGTGTGCACACGTGCATCTGTGTGCACACATCTGTACTCTCCCTCCTCCCTCCACCGCCCACACCAGTCCTCTCTCATCTTCAGAAAATCATGGGAAAATTAATGCCTCCAGAATTTCAGAGGGAATTTGGCTTGCCTCCTGGCAAACTGAGGAAATAATCCCAAGACTGTGTGTACTTGCATTCTGCCATGTTCCAAGGCTACGTTGTTGCCAAATTAATTTTACAAAGCTTAATGATGTGCAAAGTGTAACAACTGCATTAACAGAGCATTAAAATGTATTTACAAATTTAGGATTTCCTGTGAAGAGTACATAGCTTTTAGTTGAAACTCAACAAGTATCCTGTCTATAAGGTGCCATTGGTCCTTGACTATCACTAAAACATGTATTTTATTTAATTTTTACCTGCAACATGAAGCATGGCTAAAATCAAAGGTAAAAATATGATTTCCTATGCAAAAATGTTTGTTCACTATTTATATGGAAGATTAACCAAGAGCTGAAGTAAAAGGTTTATTTATAGAAAATTCCTCCAGTTGGAATGATGTTTCTCTATAGATTAGGTTGGAACGGAATAGTCAAGCTGTTCAAGGTTCTTAATGTTTATTTGGGAAAGTCAGTTGCACTGGCGTTGCCACCCTTTGATGCCACTGCATTCCCCTGATGACTGCCATAATTAGGCACTTTTTTTCTGGTCTCAGCAGAAGGGCAAGCAGAAAGTTGCCAGCTGCACAACTTAAGCAATCGAAGAGTTGATATGTTTTCTTTGTAATATATGTCACTGGATATTAAATGTGACTTTTCCTATTGTCTTGAAGTTTTAGCAATGGCCTTAAAAGGTGAGAATAGTGCCGAAGATGCCAGTACCTTTTCTCCTAACAAGAAACATGAGATCACATACGCAGGGCTTTCTGGTTCTGAGGCTTTGCCCATCAGCATCTCTGGGCCCCATAAGAGGCTGAGTCAGGAATAAGGACTTTTCTGTTGAGAGAGGTCTGTGTGCCTTCCCACCTAGGGGTGAGAGGGGTCTTTGAGCTCCAAGAAAACCACTCAGAGATCTTGGAGTCTGGAAGGACATAGAGATTGGCAAGTGAGTCACAGCTGAGAAGGCTAAGGCTAGCCATAATGGCAAAGGATAGCCCTGCTCACAATGGGAGAGAAGGCTGTGCTGGGGCTGGCTGGGGTAAGGATGCTTACACACGGACCCCACGGGAGAGAGCAAGACTGGATGCCTCAAAAGGGAAGTCCGTAGGCACGAAGTAGCTCCTATACAAGGGTGTATTGCAAATTATATAACATTTATTTTAAACAGCATCACTTATCTATAGATAGTGCATAATTCAACTATTAACAATTTCAAGGGGTGGCAACAGGTGAGAAAAAAAGAGCTAAATGGGAAAAAAATGAGTCAAGCTCATTCAGGGTAGTGAAGCAAGTCCATTTGATTAAATCCTTTTCCTTAATGCTCAGCCAAAAATGCTTGCTCTGAGAAAGAGGGAGCATGAATATTGTTTCCTTATGAAACATTTTCCTCAATATTTTATATGAAATATAGTAGTATTGATTATGTCTATGTTTCATTAATCGTCTTTTTATTGGACATCAGATATTCCAACACAACGATCCAATAGTGTTTAAGCTGACTTGCTGATTTCACATGCATTTCATTATATGACACTCCCTCCTAAATACTGAGAATGTTCGATGAGAAGGGATGGATTTTATTTCCAAATTTCTCCCAATACTTCAGCTAGGTCAACACATCACAGACTTTGAAGTATTAATGGAGCGTGGAGGGAATAAAAAGTGACAGAGGAGAGCTTGACTCTCAAGGGCAACAAAACATGAAATTGCAGCATAAGAGAAGCAAACTCCCACTTTCTTAGAGATTAAGGAATCAAATGCGGCAAAGGAAGAAATTTGTGGGGAGGGGAGAAAGACACATTTTTCCGTATTGAAATATCTAAATGTTTAATTTCCTTCTAGAACTGCAACTCTCTAGACTTATTGTCTTCAAAATTAAGACAGAGACATTAGCCATTCAAGAAGAATTTATTATGCTTAAAATGTGAATTAATCTTGAATAGATTACATAATTGGGCTAACCATTTATTTTAAGGGAAGACTTAAGAGTTAACTTCATGACCTACGGAAACACAGAAACAATCAACATTAAGGAAGTTCTGCTGCCAGGCATATCACTTGCATAAGCATGGGTTTTGGTGGGGAATTCTGCCCTGCAGCTCATTTTTGATTCTTCTCTGTGCTGGCATGATGGAATAGACAGGAAATTTACAGACTGGAGTTGTCATTCTTCTGTGCCTATCATGAACTCCTGTTAGCCATTTGAGATAAAAAAGTCTGTTCTTCCTCATCTAAAATGTTTTGAACGTGTTGATTCTGTCAGCATCCAGAGTTGACCTAACATTTATTATTAATTAATCACTCTCGATTGAAATGGCTTCTAAGTGGCAGCCAGTTATTTATTTCTTGGTCCATCAGAGATTGTGAAGTAATAAGAGCAGGTTCTTCTCTCTAGCTGATGTCACCTAACAGGGATAATCCACAGAGTTCTTGAGGAAAGACTTTGGTTTTCTGTTTGAGGCATACAATTAAGATATAGAATATTTATGTAGTTTATCCATTGGGCTATCACAAATACTGTGTTTGCAAATGGAATGTTCATGGTTTTATTGTAGGAGGTAGTTGGAGGGTCACGCCGACACCACCACAGTGGGAATATGGAGGCCCATGACTGATGAGGGATAACGAGATGTCTAGGACACCTGGGGCCAGCCTCATAAACTTGCTGGACTACAGATCCCTCCTTTGGATTACGGTAAGAAAATTTATGCGAAAGATCCTAACGTCACACCTAGTCATAAGAAACGCTCAAAAACAGTTGCTGAGTTTGAATTCACAGGCATTTACTGAATTCAACTCCAGTGTGTAGATTATAAGGTAAGGTCCCTCCCCAAGGACCAAGATATGATCATGGCATGGCAAATGGAAGGTTAATTAAAATGAGGCATGGTGGGATTCCAACAAATTCTTACTAAAATCTAGAAATTAAATCCCTTGCGTTCCTTTTCTAACACTATCACTGTCATAGTTGAGGACATGGATTAATATTTGCAAAATGCCTAGGAAAGTAAATGGAAACTTCATGCGTTTCATTAAAAAAATATTTAGAGCAAGTTTTTACAAGACTTCTGACATGTTTGCCTTCCTAAAATTGTACCCAGAATGGAAAATTCAGCTGATGGTATAAACTTTGTGACACCCAAGCCACGCAGCTCATTTCCACTGTTCCACATTTCTGCTCGATTGCCTTGGGTCTGGCGGATGGAGTCATGGATTTTTAAGGAACTGGACAGTAGACTTGTCAAAAGAATGTAAGCGTTGCTGGAAGGTTACTCTCCCAGGGCTTCAGTGTGACCCCACAAAAAGCCTGCGAACAGTGTCTTCCAGACCTACTTTCATTCCAGAATGATTTCTGCCTTGTGGTGCTGGTGTAATATTCTTCCTCATGTTTAAGATACTTTTTAAACAGTAAATAAGATAAAATTAGCCACAATGAGCTACTTCAAGTGCTCTTTAGTAATTTCTATAAAACTGGATGTTTACCCAATAATGGGCAAATCCCTCTTGCTATTTAGCTCAATGGATGAACTTGTAAAGCCTTGTAAGCTTTCTTTAATCCCCTCAATCTGGTGCCATATTTGCCCTTTATTTATACGTGCTTTAGGGTCTTTATCTCTATTCCGCTTTGGATTATGCTCTTCATGCTCTTACCATCTCTCTTCCTGCTGGGTGGAGTTCAGACTCTCTGAGCGGACATTCCTCACCCCTCCCTCCACTTATTCCCCAGGGATCCAGCGTTGGGACCCACTAACCACCAGCTGGAATGGACTGTGGAAATGCCTGCTGTACTAAGTGAGTTTAATAAGGACCTAGAAGTTATTTGAATACAATGGGGAAAAAAATGTGTAGAGAATGACCATGGAGTCGCAGGCTGTTCAGTGTGTCTGTCAGATATAAAAAGAATTCCACTTTAAAGAATTTCAATTAATCTTTTACTGAAAATTCTATCAAAGAAATGTGGTGCTTTAATATCTAATTATTAACAGGCAGTTAAAAAAACACTTGAATGCTCTGATTTTGTAGATAGAATGCTCACAGTAGTGATTAAAAATACCTCCCCCCAAACGGAATAAACCAAATGGACCGCTCTCTTAATTACAGAGCAACAACACTTTCAGAGCATATAAAATCTTTCTGTTTAGCGGCAGAGAAGTGGTCTGGATTACATTAAGAAGAAGCAGTTAGCTGGATCAGTTTAAGATTTGCCTCTGTTGTTTAAATTCCTACGTAGAATACATTTGGATCCTATTTCCATTTTATTTCACTATTTTCATCTCTGAAAGGAGAAAATATGGCACAAAGCCCTTCCTAAAAGGCTAGACTGGGACGGCCAGCGCTTATAGAAAGATAGCATCCTTGTTTCATCCGGTCAGTGTTAGTGGCTTCCTCTGACTTTACTGAGATCGCTGTAGCTGCTATTGGCTATGTATGACTATGGCTACTTTTAAAAAAGCTTTCCAAACAAAATATATCATCTTTTGGCTTCCAAATATAAAAATTATTGTTATAATGTTTTGCAAGTGAATGAAAGTTGATATCCAGAAAAGGCAGGAAAGAAACTAGTATCTCCATGTTATTATTTAGAATCAGGGCACTGTCCAATTTACCAGACTGGCACTACAGGATTCTTATATTTCCCAGGCTCTTTCTAACAAAACCACCTCTATTTACTACAATTTTGGATCATGCCTTCTCTGTTGTCATACCATCTGCCATACTTGATTGCCATCATCTATTCAACACATTCCACACAAAAGAACTAGTTTAGCATCTTATAACTTCTCACATATAAGAAAGAAATTAGTGAGAAAAGCTCTTCTTTATCAAAAAATAATATATGCACAACATACATTATTGGAAAAAATAGCTATTTTCCACGGTCTTAATTGAAAAGGATTTAAAGCCATTTATTTCCCTAAATAGTACCACATGTCTGTGTCAGTCCAAATCAAAAAGATAAGATGTTTTCAAAGCTGGAATCTTTCAAAGGCTCCAAAAGTGGTTGATCAAAATGGCATTTTAATCTGTGGCTCCTTGGAAAGCAGTAAGCAGCATTGGAGAAGCACGTTCAGAGGGGCATATACTCCAGTCTAGTCTGAATGAGTGCCATCTCGAAGCCAGAATACTTATTGGCAATTTATCTGCACAATTGGGCAGGCTATCTTGTGGGACTGAGCTTCAAAAGAGATTTCCAGGGCTTGTTTCTGTACAGAGATTCTATTTGAATATATGCTTCTGTTTTCCTCTGCTCCATAAAGTAAAAAATTGGGCTCAGGATTTTAAAGCTTTCTCCCGACCTTAGAGTATGTGTCACCTGCATTTTGACCAACTATAGCAACTGGACAGCATCACTGGATGGCAATGAAATTGAATGATTACTGAGGAAATTGAATGAATACTAAAATATGTATTCAACAGAAAGATCGAGCAGTTATTGGCTGGTTCATTGAGGATAGGTAAAAGGAGAATGAAGACGACTTTTAAAGGACTAGATTATAAAAGATAACATGCTCCTCCCACTCCCCAAAAGGATCAAATTCTAACAAACAGATGTAAATTGCAGCATAAAAAATTTAAAGTTGCTTTAGAACAATATTTCATCAGAATTGGCTTTGAAATTCTGAGGTATTTCCAAGGAAGCTTCAAGAATATACTTCCCAAGAGATTTTATAAAACCAGAATTGGTTTTCATAGGTCTGGGATGTGTAGATCTCGCTCTGTCTCAAGGAGACTTTTCTAGGCCTTTTTATCCCAGCCATGTGATTGTACGAGACCATGTTGAGTACTCTGGTGCAATGTGGTTGAGTACAAGAGCACTAATACATGGCCACCACACACAAGTACACAACAAAGCTCTGATGAACAGGAAATTAAATACACATGTGTAAACGGAACAGGACTGTGCATTCTTATGCCAACTGTTGGCATTTCTATAATTTCTAGCTTTGCTGTTACAGAAAGAAGAGACCCACCATTGGGTCATTTAGATAGAACTAAGAAAGAATGGCTGTCACGTCAGTGATTTAAAAGCATAGGGCTGAGACAGAGAAAGACAAACACCATATGATTTCACTCATATGTAGACTATAAACAAACTTATGGACAAAGAGAAGAATGTAGTGGTTACCAAGGGGAAGGGGAGTGGAGGGTGGGCACAGGGGACAAAATGGCACACTTATATGGTGTGTGACAAATATTAACATACAACTGAAATTTCACAATGTTATAAGCTGTTATGACCACAATAAAAGAAAAAAAGATAAACCATGAAGACACTTAAAAAAAAAAAAATGGCTAGCCCCATGGCCAAGTGGTTAAGTTCACGCGCTCCACTTCAGCGCCCCAGTGTTTCACTGGTTTGGATCCTGGGTGTGGACCTAGCACCGCTCATCAAGCCATGCTGAGGTGGCGTCCCACATAGAAGAACTAGAAGGACCTACAACTAGAATATACAACTATGCACTGGGGGGCTTTGGGGAGAAGAAGAAAAAAAGAGGAAGATTGGCAACAGATGTTAGTGCAGGGTCAATCTTAAAATAAATAAATAAATAAATAAAATAAAAGCAAAGGCATTTTATCTAACTCCTTCTGGGATAGAAAGCATCCCAAAGTGTATAACACACTTTCCTGCCTTATTAAGTAGAAACTTCATTATACAGCTTAACCTCTGTTGGATGACTCCCAGTCATCATCCATAAAATTTAATTCAACACAACATTTGCTGAACATCCACTATGTCAGCATAATACTAGATTTTCTGAAGGCATAACAGTGACTAGCTGTGGTTCCTGCGCTGAGGAAACTGATTCTAGGGGCTCAACCATGTCCCCGTCTCACGATAATGCGAGATATTATGGTTACACCAAAGGGACGTTAGCGATCAACGCCGAGGATCCTTGAAGTGAGATGGGGCCACCTTCCCAAGGAAGGCAGTAGGCGTCAGAGTGAAGAGCCCAGACCCCGAGCTCAGAAACCTGTGGTTTGCAGACTCTGTCTTTTCCTTGCTGAGCTGTGTGGTCCTGGCCAAATTGCACAGTCTCCGTTTCAGTACCAGTCCAGTGAAGATAATAATAACAACCTCTTCTGCATAAGGTCGTCATCAGAATTAACTGTTGAAAAACAGCATTTTGAAAAATGTGAGTCATGAAAGCAATTTACTGGGTCATGACAATCGCTTAAAAAATAAAATAGAGGAGAAAAAAACCCCAAAAGAACAGAAAATATCAGAATGCCTCACGTGTAGTAAGTGTAAGTTTTGTTTACGAAGCTTTTGTTGTGCACGTCCTGGATTGTGATTATAAAATCTATTTCCTATTGTGAGCCATGAAAAAACAAGTTTGGAAACCACAGGGATAAAGCATTTAGCAGATGGGACTAGAACACATTTTGAGGAAGTGCTCAAAAATGGTGGAATAAATAATATAGCATTTAAGTTAAGCCTTAAGAATAAACATTTTTACATAAGAAGATGAGGGGGAAAAGGGAAGGAGGACCCAATACAGACACACACTCACGGGCACACACAAACACACACACACGACACCTGGCGTAGTTGAGAGACCAGATGGGGGCAGTTTGGTAGAGTATGAGACTGGAAAGGAATTGGAGCCGGATTGTGGAAATCTGTACCGATCATATTGAGGATTTTGGATTTTAATTTTTTTAGGTAAAAGGGGAGAAGTCAAGAAATTTGCACAAGGGAGTGATAGGATCAGACCAAGAATTTGAAAGAATACTTATGGCCGTGATGCAGACAATGGACTGGGAGCTGAGACAGGTATTGGAACGGCTTCTGACCCAGTTTTGGTTCCCCAGGCGAGGACTTGAACCAAGGCAATGGCAGTGGGCATGAAAGAAACGGGGAGGATTAAAAAGACTTTGCAGAGAGAGAATCCTCATGACTGGATGTCATTTTGCAGATGCTATTTCCTCTGATCATAATATCCTCTCATCAAGTAAAATTCCCCTCCTGCAAGCTAGGGCTTTATATATGTCCCAAGAAACCATCTCTGACCCTATTGTTTGAGTAACACCCCCATCGCCCGTGTTCCTGTGTCATCCTCTGCTGTGCATTCCACTCTTGTGACCTTTGCCACCTCACATAGAACATAATGATCTCTGATATTATCTGCCCTCCTCAAGTTAGGAACTCCTTAAAGAAACACACTCTGCCCTTTGTCACAGCAGTCCCACGGTAGTCATTAGAGCCGGTCTCTATTCTGGTTTGCCGTCTGCGGGGTGCATGTTAAGGTTGTACTTCCTGTTCCCTTGTGGTTGGGTGAGGCCATGTGACAAATGAGGGCCAATTTAATGTCTACAGCAGACCCTCCAAAGACTTCTTCCCCTCTGCCATAAAACTCTCGTGGGTCCTTCTTGGAGTGAAGGTAAGTTGGAGCAGTTATCACAACTCACAGTGGACGCGAATGTGAAAGAAACAAAAACTGTCTGTGTAAATCCCTGAGACTTTAGGCTTCCTTGTTTTGCTGCATAACTCAGCCTCTCCCCACTGACGCACCTTGGAAGCTGGCTCAGTGTCTAGCTGAGAGTACTGCTCTACATAGATTTGCTGTGCAAATGAAGAAAAGATTTGGTAGCCAATCAGATAACGAGTGGAGAAGAAGAAAGGCATCAAAGGTAACCTTAAGGCTTTTGGTCAGAGGACAAAGGATATTGTTAGATCGTTAGCTCAGCTGGGAAACAGGAAGAGAAGTGGGGCAAGAGCGAATTTGGCTCTGGAGTGGTGGGACGTGAAGTGGGACGTGAGGGACTGGTGGGGTCTCCATGAGGACTGATTGGTTCTCTAAGATTGTCAAGATTAGGGATAAAAATTTTGTGCTCCTTAACTTTAGATGCCAGTTAAATTATGAGAATAGATTCAATGAGCCATGGAGATAGTAAAGAACATGTAAAGAGAATAAAGGAGGAACAGTGAAAAATGCCTACATTTAAGGGTAGGGGTCAAAGGTGAGGGAGCAACAAAAGAGAAAGAATAAAAGGGTAATGGAAGCTAAGAAAGAGAGAATGTAAAAACAAATGGCTTTACAATGGAATGCCACGCTAAAACGAAATAAAATAGGAAGAACATTAGGAAGAGGTGATGGAATTTTACGACCAGGAGGTCCAGGGTGTCTTCTGAGCTAGGAACAAAGAACATTGCGATGAATATCAGTATAAATAGAGCTGGTCAAGTCAGATACTACTTGCCTGATTCCATTATTGCACCATGTTTTGACTTGAGATCCCTGAGCATTTCTGGTTCTCTGAGGCCACTGTCTCTTGTCCTCAGCCCCACTCTGGTTTATTAAATGCAGTTGTGGAGGGTTGGGAGGCAAAGACACACCTGCTGCTTTGGACTGAAAGTTATCTGGACCTGGTGAAAGTTACTCTCCTTGCTTCCCAGAAGACTTGCTTAATTCCAAATGGTGGGCAACATCGTGCAGAGTTAGTTGCCCAAAGTGTCCTTTTGGTCAAGAAGAATACTAGTACATTCTCATTTGCTCGTTCAGCAACATCTGTTCAGCACCTACTATGATAATGGATAAGATTATCATCTGAAACTGGAATAATTGATGTGGATCACAGCTCACTGACATAATTTTTTTATTCTTCAGTAATGAGAAGTGTGTGCTATCTAATTTCACCTTTTAAGCTCTACGTCAATCAGCTTAACATTGTAAAACAGATGATTTCTATATCCCGGTGTTTATTTAGTACACACAATTTTTCACAGACTGCTTTTACGTGGGGAGTAGCGGAGAGGAAAATCCAGCATGGCTGCTTTCCACCCAGAACCTTACAAGGTTAACTTGCTTCTTTGGATTTTCATGGCTTATCATAGTGTGCGAATTGATCATTCAGATCATTGTATGTTAAAATCAACAGCCACAGTCCAAAAATCATGTGGCTGAGGTCCTGGAGCAAATGAGCTTTGAGACTTTGCTTTTTGAATCCCTGATGGGGCAGGTCGATGACTCTGCATTTGCTCCCCTCACAGATAGACTCCAGTTTCCCCAGCCCCACTTTTAGAAAACCAGTCTTTTGTTGAATTTACAGTTTCTTGTCTGTTGACATACAAAGTTTCAAATTCCAATATCTTTTACTATGCTGAACTGAGAGAACACCATGAAACAAATGCCTTTTATTAGAAAACGCATTTTACGTGTTGGAGAAGAGAGCGGCGCCTGTGTCATTTCACAAGGTCCTTTCACGAGGAAGATGAATTAGGGATCTTGAGAGAAAATTGACATCAGCAAGAAGGTTAGCTAAGGGACTCTTATAAAGAAGATTAAATTACAGAGTATAGTGTGTCCTGATTTATCCTCTCATGTTCTACATTCAACTATGAAATCATTTCAAGGAAAAAATTCAGATAGATGAGCAAGACAAATATACAGAGCTAAGACTGCCCTCTGGTGTTTATTCTGACACATAGACAGAAAGGAAAAAGCCCCGGAAAATTTGATAGCATTGTTTTCTGACTTAAAATTATAGAAACTAAAGATGGGGGGAAAAAAATCTCCCTTTCCAGTAATTTATAGTTTCTCAGTGATTCCATCCGAAAAAACAGAATAAGAGATGAGGTTTTCAAGTAGTCACCTCTAAGAGAAACGTATTAGCTCTCTCTGATCTTTACTTGTTATGGTATTATTTTGTTTTAAAAATAGGCCTCGTATGGGAAATCTCTGTCTCTCCTGCTCATTTTTGCTGTCAACCTAAAACTGCTCTAAAAATTGAAGCCTATTAGAGAAAACAGTCCTCGTGGTCTTAAATGATGTTTGAAATAGATGAATCTCAATGTGGCTCCAGAGATGGAATGAAACTGATTCTGGTTCACTTCCCTTTATTGAGGACAGGACTGGGGTTCTGGATCCTTCTTGCAAAATTTAATAAATTGCTTGTAGCTCAGAAGACTACAGGCACCTCATGACAGTCATATTTCTAGATCTATAGTGTTTTCTAATATGGTCAAAAGGCAGACACCCTGCTAGTGATTGTAAGACATCAACTAGGTGAGAAACTCAGTTGTTATTTCCCACCTTTTCTGGTTGTCGTTTTTGGAAGGCTCTTGTTGAGAGGGTACCAGATGGTCCAATCCCGTTGTTCCGTGCACGGAGAGACAATGGAAATCCCTGGGCAAATCATTTCTATCCATCCTACAGGCTGTTTGATCATGTTTTCAGGATAGTACTCTTCCTTCTTGATTGTATGTAATTTGTAGGCTGGGAGGATCCGGGCCAATACGGCCCACAGCGTCCACAAAGGGGAGCGCTCTCATCCAAGCATCAGTCACTCCGGGCTAAGTTCAAATAAGCCAGGTTGGGGTTTTTAGTTTAGAGATAAAGACTCAATTGGGAAGGCAGAATGAGAGCGAGCTGCTGGAGTTCTCTGTACCCTGCTGGTCTCTCTCTGGCTTGTTGGACTCAAAATAGCAAAGGTGAATCGTTTAGCAAATAGATAGCTGAATGATGGCACGAAGAGCAACAAGAAGCACTCCACATTCTGGTGGAATACGGGTTCTCTTTACTTCGGGAATAATCTGGTCTTTCTTTGGTAAACACGGTGCTACATTAGGGTAGTGAGAGAATCAGAGATGACACAGGGGAGCACTGGCTTGCCTCTCCAAGCAGAGGAACAGAATTTCCTAGCTTTTCATCTCAGCATCTATACTGCCTTGCATCACTGGGCTTTGACGGTAGAATCCACCCCGTGAGAATAACAGCATATTTGAAACCAAATAAGGAACCCATAAAAAAGTCCTGGAACCCAACTCTGACCATTTGACATTTAAATCTACTTCGACTGCAGAGGTGCGGCTGTTGACATAGACACAGAGGGACATACAACTTGATATTTTTCAGCAGAGAGACGGACCGACCTCTGTGAGCTGCACACACGCTCTCCGTTGTCTCCCCATGGTTAATCATGCTGACTGTCTGGGGAGCCACAGGGTCTTGAGGTCCCCTACAGACTCTAGACCTGGGAAATTGTATCAATTTAGTTGAAAGATTAACTAGTAAATTAGTTCAAAAATATTATTCAGCCCTAAAAAAGAAGGACATTCTGACACATGCCAGAGTATGGATGAACCTTGAAAGACATTATGCTGAGTGAAATAAGCCAGTCACTAAAGGACAAACACTGTGGGGCTGTCCCATTGGTGTAGTGGTTAAGTTTATGCACTACACTTCAGTAGCTTGGGGTTCATGGGTTTGGGTCTTGGGTGTGGACCTATTCACTGCTCATCAAGCCATGCTATGGCAGTGTCCCATATACAAAATAGAAGAAGACTGGCATAGATGTTAGCTCAGGACCTATCTTCCTCGAGCAAAAAGAGGAGGATTGGAAACAGATGTTAGCTCAGGGCCAATCTTCCTCATCAAAAAAAAAAAAAAAAATGAGGACAACACTGTATGATTCTACTTGTATCAGGTACCTAGAGTAGTTGAATTCATAGAGACAGAAAGTGGAATGGTGGCTGCCAGGGGCTGGGGGAGGAGAACGAGGAGTTAGTGTTTATTGAGGACAGAGCTTCAGTTGGAGGAAGATGAAGAGTTCTGGAGACGGATGGTGGTGAAGGTTGCCCAACAGTGTGGGTGTCCTTCATGCCACTGAACTGTATGCTAAAATGGTAAATTTCATTATGTGTATTTTACCACAATGAAAGCAAAATTAATTCTGTATTCACTCCAAAAAAACTTACTGAGTGACTACACACGTCAAGTTCTATACCGGGGACTGGGAGCTAAAAGATGGCTTGGACACAGTGCCTACCTCAGAGGATGTCATACAGTTTCTATGAAGACGTCGTAAATTTTGATGAACTATGTTTCCTTTCTTTTCTCTAAATTTCCCTTTTTCATATGCTTTTGTATCTGGTCTGAGAAATAGCTTAACTCTATGTTGCTATTTAGTAGTAATAACATGAGTGATAAACACTTTGAAATATTAAGTACTCTAACTTTTATTTCCTTCACAATGAACTAAGCTGACTATTGTAAGGGTCATAGATGCTCATTAAAGTCCCTCAGACTTTAAGTCTAGAACAGGGGTTTGCCAGCTGCTCTTTCTCAGTGGGGGGATGGGGCAGAGAGGGAGGATGGGCTGGAGGTGGGAGCAGAGGAGGGAGGGAGGAAGAAAGGGAGACAGAGAAGGCACGAAGTGACTTGAATGATGAGTCCAACAGAAAAATCAGTAGGTGATGTCCACTGACAATCAATTAAGGCACAATTAAATCCTCAGGGGTTGGATTTTGATACGCTGGCTGGCAGTTTTGTACGAACTCGCCAAATAGAAACAATAATTCCAGACAATTGTGTCCCCTTTAATGATTCCGACGTATATTTTCAAATGAGGTGCAAATGAGGATGTTTCTTTGTATGTGAAGACAACGGGGGAAAAGTAAAAACCACTGGAAAGACCCAAGTAGGTGGGAAAGGAAGGAACGAAACTGGCCCAAATGCGTCTGGTAGCTTGTTCCTGGAACACGCCGGCAAGGCACCTGGTTATTCACCAACTTACTGTGGGATAGGGGTGGGAGCAGAACACCGTGTACTTTCTGATGATGCCGTTCAGCTTGAGAGGGGGGAGCCAGGACACGAAGACCGTGGAGGCAGAGGCCGCAGCTGCCTTGACTCCCGCGGGAGGACCTGGAACTAGAAGAGGCAAGTGTTTAGTCACAAAAATGCAGCTTCCACACAGTGCTCAGGTCCACTCTGCCCAGCACGACCCCCTCTTCCAGTTGGACCCAGGCTCAAAATCCCTATGTTGAAGCCCTAACCCCTAGCATCTCAGAATGTGACCTTATTTGGATACAGAGTCTTGACAGAGGAAAGCAAGTTAAAGTGAGGTCATCAGCGTGGGTCCTAGTCCAACATGGCTGGTGTCCTTACAAAATAACGGGAAATTTGGAGTCAGAGACATGCGTAGAGGGAAGATGGTGCAAGGACACAGGGAGAAGATCCGTCTACAAGCCAAGGAGAGAGGCCCGGGACAGATTCTCTCCTCACAGTCCTCAGAGGGCACCAACTCTGCCCACACCTTGATTTTGGACTTCTGGCCTCCAGAACCGTGAGACAATACATTTCTGTTGCTGAAGCCCCCTCTCTGTGGTACTGTAACAGCAGCCCTAGGAACTGGCAGCCTCTCTCTGACCGATGGCCTCTGAGCCCCACTAAGCCCTGTCCTTGGGCAGGTCCTCTGAGAGCCCCGTTTTAGCAAGAATCTAAGCCAGTTCAGCCAGAAGCCCCTCAGTGTCTCATCACCCTTGATATCTGATCAGTCCTCATTCTCCACCATCCCCAAGGTAATATCTGATCATCCGAGCCTGCCTTCAGCGAGAATCCTGTTAGACGGATTTAGTCAGAACGCCCCTTATCCCTCATGTTTCCTCTTAGTAATTCTCCATCCAATATCCCCGCCCCTTCCCTTCTACTCCTCGGCTATAAATTCCCACTTTCACTTGTATTCAGTGATGAGCCCACTCTGTCTCCTCTACTGCAAAACCCCATTGCGGCAGACCCTACACCTACACCTACACCTTGCGATAGTTGCCCTGAATAAAGTCTGCCTTATCGTTCTTTAATGAGTGTCATGAAGAATTGTTTCTTTAACAGAACTAGAACAATCAGTTCAAGTGCCTGTTTTCCTGGGAGCCTTCCCTACTCATTTCAGTCCCAGCTGATTTCTTGCCTCTGAACAGCGGGAGAATTTAGTTTCTGGGTCATTCTTGTTTCTGCTACCGTGTTTGGCTTTGAACAGGCTGGGGATGTACATCTCGCCTCCTGAGTTAGAGAGGAATGAGGGCGAACTACCTCAGTCATCAGAGATCATTCATCCTTGCCCAAAACATTTTTTTTTTTCTTTTCTTTGAGGAACATTAGTCCTGAGCTAACATCTGTTACCAATGCTCTTTGTTTTGCTGAGGAAAATTGGCCCTGAGCTACATCTGTGCCCATCCTCTTCTACTGTATATGTGGGATGCCTGCCATGGCATGGCTTGCCAAGCGGTGTGTAGATCTGCACCCGGGATCCGAGCCGGCGAACCCCGGGCCTCTGAAACGGAACGTGTGAACTTAACCGCTGTGCCACGGGGCCGGCCCCAAACCACTTTTTAATAGTGACTCTTTTGGGTCAGGAGAGGTACAGAAACATTTTGCATGAGTCTGGATTTTTTGTCAAAGATTCACAGTTCGTATAGAGAACAAACTCGCCTCTGTAAACCATCTAAGAAGGCAGAGAACGGTGCTAAGGATATTAAGCATAATTTGGGAGAGAGATTGAATGCACATCCCACTCCCCATCCTTTTGTTTTCCAAGTTGAAGAAGGAGGATGCGGTGGGGTGGACAGGACACAGGGAGAAGAGGAAAGAGCATTCATATTGCTACGAGGAAAGCCTCAAGGATCTTGCTTGTTCCTCACTGGTCTAACTGTCCATGTGGAGAGTGGTCCCTGCCTTGATGTAGGTTTTGACATTCAAACTAATATACATCCCTTGTGAGCCCCTGGAGGAATCTTTGAGTCTCTTCCTGCTCCAACAACAACATAATTGCTCAGTAAGTACCTCTGGAGTTGAGTGTGTGTCTCATAATTGTCACCTTGACTCTTCTAGTTCAAAACGACAAAACCAACAACTCCAGTGAGAGTTAACTTGGGGTGGGACACCGCCACCATTCGAAAACATAAAATCTTGGGATCAGTTTTTGGCGAGTGCTGCTGACAGCAGAAGGTCTAGAAAAGGGAACACACCCAAGTGATGAAGCCTGGATCAGTAAGTCCTTGGGAACAAGGCAATGTTGTCCTGAGGACGGAGGGCATATGTGCTTAGGTTTCCTATAGGTGAGGGCAAGAGCCAAGACATCCACAAATTCATCACCTGATTCAGAGCCTCAAGGGCTCCTTCTGAACACCAAGGATGGAGTGGACATTGACTTAATAGTTCCATCCCAGTGAGCACTCCAGCTTAGCCAGCACTCTCCATTCCTTCCGGAAAGCAACTCCCTGGCCGGCATCTACCATGCTGAGCACTCCCTCTGGCCAGCTTCTCTCTAGGAGCCAAAGTACTTGGGCAACAACCACTTGAGTGACTGCTTAACCGGAGTCAGTCATGTATGTGTTCCCCCTGTTTGTGACAATCATGCTTGTCATGGAAATGCAATTTAATTAATTATGTCAACCAATGAAATATTAGTGCAAAAGCAAGCTGTTTCTACGACAATTAATGGGACTTCTTTGGAAAAGCTTTCTTAAAGGTAATTTTTTTCAAAAAGAGGTTCAATTAGGTTTGGGGCAAGACAATTGAGAAGAATGGGACACATGGCAAAAATCAAGACAAACCCAAAGAAATTTCAAGGAAACAGATTGTTGGCAATTGGCAACTTGCTTTTATGCCATTATCAAGAAACTTAAATGGAAATTGCAGATGATCCATGATGAATGGTTCATGGAATACAAGATGACCTAGGACTCTAATCTCTTCACCAAAAATTAAAGAACTGAGCCTGGATCATTTGATTAGAGAACGATTAGAGAATAAATCTATATTTATATATTTTAAGTTAAAATACAATGTTTCTTGGTCACGGTAAAGTTTATTGATTCCTTGTTTTAGCTGACTATTTCCGTTAACTTGTCTTGATCGCATCAGTTCAAAGGGCTTTTACTGAACTTACCACCTAAACCCCCACCTGGCTCCCCATACACTGACTTATGATCTATCTGATTCAGTCTTTCCTTACATGGTTATCAGAATTTTGTACAAAAAAATAATAACTATATAGAAACTGAGGAACAAGACATTCTGGCAAAGCTTTCTGGATTGCTGAGCCAATACTTTAAGAGATAGAATTTAAAATTTTAGTTCAGGTTTGGATTATACCACAATGGTTAAAGACATGGGTCCAGCAGCCCCACGCTGGCTTGTCCACCTCTACCACATAGTTCTTGGTCCTGAGAAAGTTCATTGACTTCTCTGATAAGCCTTAGCTTCCTCATCTGTGAAGTGCGGAGAATAATTATACCTATTTATGGCTTTACTGGTAGGATTATGAGAGAGAATTC